AGGTAACTCTTGTTGTCATTGTTGTTAAGTTCCGTCAAGTTGAGTATGACTCATAGTGACTCTGTGAACAGAAGATCTGAACCCTGCTCTATCCTGTGCAATCTTCACACTTCCTGACACACAAGAGCCCATTGCACCAGGCACCATGCCATTCCACCACATGGTTTAAAATTAAGAAGGAGTGTCTCAGGGTTGTATTCTCTCTCCACACTTATTCAAAATGTATAATGAGCAAATTTGAGAATCTGGATTCTGTGAAGAGGAATATGGCATCAAGATTGGAGGGAGACTCATCAATAGCCTGCGTTATGCAAATGACAAACATTCCTTTCTGAAAGTGAGGAGGACTTGAAGTACTTGTTACAGGAGATCAAGAAATGCATCCTTCAATATAGATTGTGTCTCAATGTCAAGAAAACAAATTCTTGCCACTGGACTGAGAGGTAACACCATGATGTATGGAGAAAAGATTGAAATGGTTAACAACCTCAGCTGGCTTGGATCCACAATTAACACCCTTGGTAGCACAATTCACATCCTTGGTATCAGCATTCAGGACATCAGAAGATGTATTGCATTGGGCAAGTCCACGGCCAGGGACCTTCTCAAATTACTGAGAAGCAGTGTTTGTCAGTTTGAAGACTAAGGTGCACCTGATTTAGGCCATCATCTTTTCAATCATGTTCTTTGTTTGCACCTGCAAGCTGGACAATGAGTAAGAACAACAAAAGAAGAATTTATGTATTTGAGTTGTGATGTTGTAGAAGAGCACTGAATAGCCAGCCCATTGCCTGCAGAATAAACAAATATGTCTTGGACAACATGCAGTCAGAATACTCCCTGGAGGAATGGATGGTGACACCCTTTTTATTGATAGGGTTTTTGGTTGTCACAAACTAAAGGAAGTCCACTCAATGTATATGTGAACCTTGGTCATTCAATAAAACTGTGCCTTCCTGCAGAGACTTGGTAGCAGGTGTTTGATACTCCCTGAGTGCCAAGAACCTTTTCAGACAGTGGCCAGCACGTTCCAGGTGACCTGGAAGCACTGATCCTAAAATGTTGTCCCCTAGCTCTGAGTGGCCTGTGTTCCAGCAAGGCACGTTTCCTTTCACTAAAGGGATAACCATAGAATTTGACACCTCAGTCCTGTAGTTTCAAATAAAGGAGTCAGAAGTTTGACCAGTGACAGAGAAAGAACCTAGAGAGTGATGCTGCCACACCTGAGGACAAGAACGCTTGATGATTGACAAGAGACTGAAACCCAGCCAAACCCAAGTTCTAGGCCCTGGAGAGCATTCTGGCTCCATGTGACCCTGAAGGCTGCAGGAGACCTGCCCTAGATCCCTGAAGCTGTAGTCTCTGAGAATGGTCCCTGAGGCTGTAATCTCT